TAGTAAGCACTATGTGCCAGGCATTCATTATTCTAGGTACTGGGCATACAGCAGGAACAAAACAAAATCCCCATACTCACAGAGTAGATGATAATCAAACATTCAGGGCACAGTGGCTCACGCCTGTCATCCCAGCACTTTAGGAGGCCGAGGCAGGAGGATCATGTGAGTCCAGGAGTTCAAGACCAGCCTGGGCAACATGAGGGACCCCATCTCTACAAAAAATTTAAAATCAGTCAGGCATGGTGGCATGTGCCTGTAGTCACAGCTACTTGACAGCTGGGGTGGGAGGACTGCTTGAGCCCAGGAGGTCGAGGCTGCAGTGAGCTGTGTTTGTACTACTGCACTCCAGGCTGGTGGCAGAGGGAGACCCAGTGTCAAAAAATAAATAATTTTTTTAAAAAGATAATCATCAAATAATTAATGTCAGATGCAAATCTGTGCTGTGACGACACATAAGGCAGAGTTGGGGGAAGAGAAGGGGTCCCAGCAGCAGGGGGGTGCTATTTTAGATGGAGCATTCAGGGGTGACATCTGCAAGTGATTTGAAGAGAGCGGGGAGCGAGCCATGTGGATGTCTGAAGGGAAGGGTTCTCAGGCAGAGGACCAGCGACAACAGAGGCCTGGAAGCATGGCCAGCACGGCCAGGTAGAAGGATGGGCCCTTTGTCCTGGCCATGAGGGAGGCCCCCAGTGGGCAGTGCAGACTGCAGGGAGCCAGGGCAAGGCCTGGCTGTGGAGCACGATGTTTGAGGCAGGGTGGTAGCAGAGGAGGTGGCAGAGGTGGGTGGCTGAGGACTTTGGACGGGATTCACGCCTTTGGGAGTCCCTGAAGACACTTATTCTTTGAGACCCAGCACAAGCGTCATGCTCCCTTGAGCTCATCCCTGATTCTCTTGGCAGCCGGTCTCCGCCTGCCCCGGGTTCCCACATCAGCATGTAGTCTAGTTCATTATTGCTGCTTTGTATTGGATTTGAGCCATTCAAGCCCTTCACACATCTAACACATGCACAATCACACACATCTCAGAGCACGGACTCTCACTGCAGATCCCACGGATTTGATATTTCTAATATACAGGACTTAGCATGGAAAATGCTACTGAATACATGAGTTATTGAATCCATAAACTCACATCCCCCAACTGCACTGTGATTTCATAGTAAAAGAGCAGGACTCTGTCTGGAACTGCTGCTCTATTCAGCAGTGCCTGGAACAGGCAATACTAACATCTCCCAAGCACCACTTAGATCAGGAGCGCTTCATGGGCATGAACCTGTGCAGTGGCACAGATCCCCATGCTTAGAAAGACCCAAGTTTGCTATCATGCTCTGCTGTCGCCATCAGGAAACTCATAATCTTACCTTTGAACTTGTGTTTTACAGGTGAAATCCAACAGGACAATGAGCATGTCAGGAGCAGAGATGAGCACAGCATGTTCCTTGCAGCTCAATTTGCATATAGAGTGCTTGTGGTGCCCCATTGCATAGAATTCCAGAGGCCCACAATGCATGGAGTCCAGCAAGACCCAGTGGGATAGATATAAGGTAAGCACATTCCATCTATGACTGAGAAAGTAGGGTGCTGACAGCCCAAGAGGTCCTACTTTCCTTTGGGACCAGAACTCGGTTCAAATACAGAAAGAATACCATGGTGTATTAGTCCATTTTCACGCTGCTGCTAAAGGCATACCCAAGACTGGGCAATTTACAAAAGACAGAGGTTTAATGGACTTACAGTTCCATATGGCTGGGGAGGCCTCACAATCACGGCAGAAGGCAAGAAGAAGCAAGTCACATCTTACATGGATTGCAGCAGGCAAAGAGAGAGCTTGTGCAGGGAAACTCCAGTTTTTAAAACCATCAGATCCAGATCTCATGAGACTTATTCACTGTCACTACAACAGCACGGGAAAGACCGCCCCCATGATTCAATTACCTCTCACCAGGTTCCTCCCAAAACACATGGGAATTGTGGGAATTACAATTCAAGATCGGGTGGGGACACAGCCAAACCATATCACATGGTGTTCTGAGAAACACAAGCAACCAAGGAAATGTATCAGACACTTTCTTCCCCATGCTACTCGTATTATCATACATGTGCTAGCCAATCACTTACTCTGAAAATGTTGGGCTAGAAGGAAGAAGAGAGGGCAGCCCATGGCTCCTTTTCCCTCAGTCCTTCGCTCCTGGTTATACTGAAGATAGAGAGTGTTGGTAGAACGGGCACGGAGCAGGAAGTGAAATGAAAACAATGAAGTTAGTTTTGGGCCGTTTCCACGGTTCTTGTAAGAATGAAATGCATATGCATGTGTGAACTACAAATATTGTTTACTTGTGTGGAATCATGTGATTCCAGTGGTTCTGCATCCCAGTAAATGTTCTTCTATTTGCATTTAAAACTATCATTTCATAATACAAAGATGAATGGTACATACACTCATAATGTTTTCAGTTATCATGTTACATTAACAATTAATGTTTTAACTTTACTCAGAATGACATTAAAGAGCAAACAAAAAACACCATGACAGGTCAAAAGAGAGTGTGTGGAAGAAAGGAGAAGCTTGATATTCTAGTATCCTCCATGGTAGTTTCTTTCTGCCTTTGAATGAGAGGCCCCACAGTTTGATTTTGCACTGGGCCCTGCAAATTACACAGCTGCCCAGTGTCGGCTCGAAGCTGCAGTCGCCAATGCCTGGTGTAGGGCAATGATAAAGATGAGGATGGTGAGGGGTCTGGCTTCCATTCACAACATGAACACTTTGCATAAATGGAACAGCAGGCTCAGGACGCCAACCACCGACTGAGACAAACTGAATACCAGAAGGTCATTAAAGGCGCTTTGAAAGAGGCTCTCACATCCTCTAGCCACGGGGCAGTCTGCGCAGAAGGCTAGAAGAAGACAAGGGACAGCAACGGGCTGCCCAGGTCAGAGTCAGAGTCCACATGGGACAGTGGGACATGGGGTCCAGGATGGGGAGATTTGGATAGACAAGCCTGAGAAATGGGGACCCCACCCCCACCCAATCTCCCTGCATCTTCCAGATGGTAAAGCAGGGCTGAGGGCGGAAAAGCTATTCTGTTTTCTCCTTACTCCCGCCAGGAGAAAATGGAACAGCTGCCTCTCACCTGGAGAACAAGTAATAGCCTCTTCTGGAGCAGGGCCCAGCCTCGCCCTCCTCCTCAAAGCTGTGCCTTACTGCCCCATTCATCCCAGCCCAGTGGGGAAGCACAGTCTCCACCCCAGGAGTGTCCTGGGGCCACTGAAACAAAGCACCACACCCTGCGGGCTTAAAACAATGGAAATGTATTCCCTCACACTTCCAGAGGCTGCAGGTGTGGTATCAAGGTGCCAGGAACGCCGTGCTCCCTCTGAAGGCTCCAAGGGAGAACCTGTTCCACATCCCTCTCCTCTCTTCTAGTGTCGCCGGCAACCACCCTTCCTGGACCGCAGACACGTCCCTCCAAACTCACTCCACCATCACATGATGTCCTTCTGCGTCTGTGCCCTTCACATGGCATTCTCCTCTTACATGGACACCAGCCATACTGGATTAAAGGCCCATCCTACTCCAGTGTGACCTCATCTTAACTTACATCTTAATTATATCTGCAAAACCCCTATTTCCAACCTAGGTCACATTTACAGGTACTGAAAATGAGGACTTGAGCATATCTTTGGGAGGACACAACTGAAACCACAACCCCGAGCCAGCTACCCTCAGAGCAGCGTGGGGCTCTGGATCGTCAGGGACAGGATGGATGTGAGCTGGAGAGGGTGCTGGTGCGGATGCCTTCCCCCAGAACTCTGGACTGTGCTCTAGGAAGGAGACCCGGAACAGGTCCTAATCAATAAATTTGCTACATGAGACCAGAGGACCTAAAGGACCAGAGGCTCCTCCCTGCAATAGGTGCCTCACCTTATAAGGTGAGGGAGGCTCAGGTGTCTCAGGGTGATTTGTCTGTAGCTGGGGTTGACGATGGGAGCTGCTGTCACAAAACTGAGCTCCCTGGTGCCAACAGAAATGATGGGATTCCAAATTCAAGAGCTGTCTAGGATATGATGTATTGGTAGCCCATCTTGATAGGACTCAATGCTGTTCTTGGTTCATTTTTACACTTCTAGGACCTTTGTTAAAAATGAATCATTGGCCAGGCATGGTGGCTCACGCCTGTAATCCCAACACTTTGGGAGGCCAAGGCAAGCGGATCACAAGGTCAGGAGTCCAAGTGAAACACGTCTCTACTAAAAATACAAAAGTTAGCTGGATGTGGTGGCATGTGCCTATAATCCCAGCTACTCAGGAGGCTGAGGCAGAATTGTTTGAACCCGGGAGGTGGAAGTTGCAGTGAGCTGAGACCACGCCACAGCACTCTAGCCTGGGTGACAAAGCAAGACTCCATCTCAGGACTAAAAAAAAAAAAAAAAAAAAAATCATTTGGCTGGGCACAGTGGCTCACTCCTATAATCCCAGCACATTGGGAGGATGAGGTGGGCAAATTGCCTGAGCCCAGGAGTTCAAGACCAGCTTGGGCAACATGGTGAAACTGAGTCTCTACCAAAAAAAAAAAAAAAATTAGCCCAGCGTGGTGGTGTGCACCTGTAGTCCCAGCTACTCGAGAAGCTGAAGTGGGAGGATCACCTGAGCCCTGGGAGGTCAAGGGTAAAGTGAGTCATGACTATGCCACTCCACTCCTTGTCTCAACAAAGAAATGAATCACTTGATCTGACATTGTCAAGAATAGTAACAGTGGCTCACACGTCACCACCTAGCTAGTTATCATCCCGCACTGAGAAGAGTCACGGTGAAACTGACACATTTTTTCCTTTGCTTAGTGAAGTAGAAAATAAGGGTGTGTCTTACAATCAATGGATCTTAGATTCAATGAAATACTGGAAATGTATTAACAACTATTATTGAAAGCAGGAAATGGTAAAGATGTGTTGTTAAAATTTGCATTATCAGATCAATGACATTAAAATTGAGAATTGCATCACTTATGAAAACATTTTTATTCATTCATTCCACAAACATAGGGGCTTTCCATGTGCAGGGCACAGTGGCAGACACTGACGCGTCTGCCCTCCAGGCGTTGACACTGAGGCCTGTGCCCTCCAGGCGTTGACACTGAGGTCTCTGCCCTCCAGGCGTTGACACTGAGGTCTCTGCCCTCCAGGTGTTGATACTGAGGTCTCTGCCCTCCAAGTGTTGACATAGGCCTGTGCCCTCCAGGCGTTGACACTGAGGCCTGTGCCCTCCAGGCGTTGATACTGAGGCCTCTGCCCTCCAGTGCCCATCCAGGCCTTGGTCCTCCAAGCCCACCTGGACTCTGCCTTTCTTTGGGACACTGTCCTGGACTTCAGTCCATCCAGTACTTCTTTTCAGAGCTTCAGAATGGAAGCACAGGTGAAAATCACTATATTTCACCCCTGATCATGGGAACCTAGAGTGGAATATCATGACTGCATCACAAACAAGATCACAGACAGGATAAGAAGGGGGAGAGAGGAAATTTACAATTCCTCATACATGGTTCCTTATTTACAGAGGTTGTAAGTGATTATGTAAATCACAGAGCTTCCAATAAAAACCAACTCAAGCTACAAACATGGAAGTCCAAGGGCAGTGCCAGAGCCGCCTCACTGCCCGCGTGCTGCTCTCCAGGGCTTGCTACCATCTGCTCGTGTGGCCCTTAAAGCGAGGGCAATGATAGAGACAGCACCGGCCTCTAGTCCTAGGAAGCACACATGCCTTCATGTCAAGCACTGGGGGTTTAGTGGGGAGGAGGAGGGGGACACGGGATCATCTGACAGCTGAGGATCTAGAGAATCCTGGCAGAGTCTGGGTCACAGCTAGAGCCCAGTTGTGGCTGAGATCTCCAGTAGCTGAGGAGGAACTAATGTATCAAAATGGGAGGGTCCCAAACTGGCGAGCCACCATAAGGGCCTGCCTGAAAAGCCCTAGTGATTGGCCTAAATCTTCAGATGGTGGTGGGGTCACCAGGATCTCAGGGGGGCTTCTCAGCTGCTGGCAGCCCACGTCCAGGTTTCCTACCTCCCTTCTGCTCAACCTTTAGGTGCTTCTGCAACATTTACTGCAGCCCTTGCTGCCTGCTGGTGTCTGTGTGTCCTCTGCCAGGTGCCACCATTGACGTCAGATACCCCTCCCAGCCCCACAGCTAGGAACCAGGCCTCAGTCTTCTTTGTATCCCAGTGACTGGCACAGGTTGGATCCTCAGAAAGCCCCCTTTGCCTGCCTGCTCCAATAACGGCTTGAAGGCAAATACTACACCAACTGGACAGTGCCCTGTAAGAGCCAAGATGGCTGGTCCTGAGCACTGGGCCACAGCCAGCCCAGGCCCTTCTGGGACATACGTCCCACAAAGCTGCCTTTCCCAGGTAATAGGGGCAAGGGGGAGGCAGAAGTCAGTGCAAGTTTCCATGAAACATTTTACAGCTCACCAAGGCTATTGGATTCACATCTGAGGGATGCTTGGGCTCAGCCTATTAAACAGGAGGCTGGGCCTGGCCTGGACTCCGTCCAAGGCCTCCTGCCACCACTGCCCACCCTAGGAAGCACTTTAGAATCTTCACAGTCAGTATCCAGGAAACCAACGGCTATGGCTAAGGGTGAATACCTTGGATGTCCCTTCAAAGCACTGAGTAATCACATCTCCTAACTGGAACCTTTGTCTCTGAAAATCACTCCCCTAATAGAACAAGGCAAAGCCGGCCACTCCTGCCCACCCCATCTCCCAGCCCAGGTCTTCCCCTCAGTGAGGCTCAGGTGTTTGGGACTGGCCTCTATCCCGGCCACATCCCTGCCTCCCTGCATGCCTCCCTGCGACGAGAAGCCCCGCGGGCAATCGCAGTGCCTGGGAGAACAGCCCTCCCTTGGGAAGCCATGACCATGGCCAGAATACTTCGACCTGGTCAACAAGTGACCCCCAGGAGAGGCCGCTTGGATTTAAGGGGCACCAACTGCCCCTGTGCCCTCAGAGCCCCTTTAGGGAGCTCTCTGGGTGCTACCCACATTCTCCATCTTCACACGAGAAAAAGAACTGTCCAAGGGACTCCCCGCAACACTTTCCTGATCACCACTGCTCCGCTGCCTGTCCCCAGGGCACCTCCTGAGGCTCAGCTCTGTACCGGTGCCCTCAAATCTGAATGCGGCAGAAGGATCACTAGTGGCGCTCCCCCGCACTGCATCCCTGAGGCCCGTGGGCGGCTCGTCGATCGGGGAGTCCCTCTCACAAACCAGGCAAGGTGGAGAAGCATGACCAGCATGGCTGTCCTGGTGACACATGAGCCAGGAGGGACAGGTAAAGCTCTCGCCACACCGGCTGCAAGGATAGCGCTTCTCCTGCGAGTGGCCGCACAGATGGCGCAGGAAGCCGGGCTTCTGTGCAAATCGCCTGCCGCACTGGGCGCACTGGAAGGCGCGCTCGCCCGAGTGCATCCTCTGGTGCACGGTCAGGTTGGCCAGGCGCGTGAAGCGCTTGTCGCACTGCGCACACTGGAAGGGCTTCTCGCTGATGTGTGTGTGCCGGTGCTCCAGCAGCGTCGACAGGCCGCCGGCCGCCGAAGACCTTGGCGCACTCGGCGCACTCGTAGGGCTTCTCCCCGATGTGCATGGGGTAGTGGGTGTGAGCGTCGACTGGTGGACAAAGGTCTTACTGCATCTGGCGCCGGTGTAGGTGCGCTGGGCCACATGCGCCTGGCGGTGGCTGGCGGGAGTGGCCCAGTGCGGGAAGCTCTTGGGACACTGAGCACTAGCGAAAGGCCGTGGGGCATGATGCGCGCATTCCTGCTGCGGGCTGAGCTCCTTCCAGCCGAAGCTCTGGCCCCACTGGGCGCAAGGTGGGCACTGCTCCATGCCCCTAGCAGCGGGCTCAGCCTGGCTTGGAGGGCCTGGAGGGAGGAAGGCCACCTCTCGCTCCCTGGGGTCAGGAAGCAGACCCCCACAGGTGCTTCCCCGACAGCCCTCCTTGCCAGGCCCCCCTCCAGCAGCCCAGGCTGGCTTGTGTCCCTCGGACCCTCCCTCCAGACTCCTCTTTGCGGCTCAGACAGGTCTCTGCAGGGAAGGGACGCAGAAGGGTACAGCGAGTGAGGCCTCCCTGCCACAGGCTCTGCAGCCAGGCCACCCGCCCTTGGCTCTCCTGGAGTCTGAAGCGCGGGGCTCGAGCATCACTAAAGGCCCTGCTCTAGCCTAGCCTCCTTCAGCTCCCATTGTCCTCTGCCGGGTTCCACCCTGTGCTGTTCCACCTAAGGCTACCCCGTTCATCCACCTCTGAGCCTCGGCCCGAGGGTCCTCTCCACCCAGAACACCTCTGGCCTCCTCTTTGCCTCTCACCCAGGCTCTAAGCCCCTCTCAAGTGCCACCTCCCTCTCACGGAGCCTCCCAAGACCAGTGTGGTGACATTTTCCCCAGCAGCACCTTCATCCGGGCCGCCTGTGGCCACCAAGACACCCCTTTTACTACAGTTGAAAGAACACCTTCAGCTATTTGCACATCGTAAGCATAGGTGCTTTTAGAATACTGGCCGTCGGCCAGGCGCGGTGGCTCACGCCTGTAATCCCAGCACTGTGGGAGGCCGAGACAGGCGGATCACGAAGTCAGGAGATCGAGACCATCCTGGCGAACATGGTGAAACCCCGTCTCTACTAAAAAATACAGGTGGCGGGCGCCTGTAGTCCCAGCTACTCGGGAGGCTGAGGCAGGAGAATGGTGTGAACCCGGGAGGTGGAGCTTGCAGTGAGCTGAGATCTGGCCACTGTACTCCAGCCTGGGAGACAGAGCGAGACTCCGTGTCAAAAAAAAAAAAAAAAGAATACTGGCCGTCTTTTGGATCAGATCCTGAAAGGGCTCTCTGGCTGTAGACACAACGGTGCCCCTTCCCACTGTGTACTGTGTGTTCGTCTTCTCTCTCCTGAGTGATCTGTGTCTCACACATTAATGAGCCCCTGCGGCGCCCAGCACCATGCTGCCTACAGACGAGTTCATGAAATGAACAGGAAACAGGTTCAGGAATAAAAGAACGATTTCATACAACTGCATGGAAGGACACCACGCAGCAAGCACACAAGATTCTGCAGAGACACAGCCAAGGCTGCGCACTGCCTTCCCTCAGGAGCCTGGCGCAGGAGGAGGCCCTGCTAGAGGCGCTGGGAGGCCCCCCGGGGGACGCCATGTCTCCTAAGGCCCAGGGATACAGGCCTGGGGAGACACAGCCCAGCACACCTTACCTGAGCACAGGTGTGCCACAGTGGTCTCCTGTGGGCCCTGCTGGCTCCTCCCACTTGCCCCTGCCTCTTGCTTGATCCAGGCCGGAACTCCTGGGGTGTTTCCAGCTGGCCTGCGTCTAAGGGAAAGAGGAAGAGGCCCTGAGGGCAGCAGGTATCACGGGGCATCTTTCCTCTCACAGCCTCTGTTGGGACCACGACCCCAAAGAGACTCCCAACAGAACTGTAGGTACCAGCAAAGGCACAGCACATCCTGGGGACATGTGACATGGCAGCGAGGGGAGCTTGGCCTGTGAATGATGGGCTGTGAGCTGTGACAGGGATGACCAGCCATCTTCCAATGCTATCCACCCCGCTTCAACACTAACAGAGCACTTGGTGTCTTGCTGGGCATGTGGCCACCTAGACTCCAGACTTGTTGCCAGGCCTCCCTGTAAGGAGATGTGCCCTGTGGCTGGTCTGGCTAATGGATGTGAGGGCGCTGCCTCCTCCAGCTATGGGATCTTTGACACTGGATTCCGCCTCTCTCTGCCTCCGTTTCTTCATCTATGATATGAGGAAACTGAGAGTTGGAATAAGCTTACATGGGTCAATGTTTATAAAGTAAACATTGCACAGTAAGTACTAAATGTACAAGAAACCAAAGTGTTTGGTTAAAGGGAAAGGCATCAGCTAAAACGAAAAGGGAAAGGGCACCCCTCCCGCCCCAGCCCTCCCCTTGCTTCCTTCAACAGGGCCACGGGCATGGTCGCGGGCCATCTCCAACCACAGTAACAAGGCCTGGCCCCAGGAAAGGTGGAGCGATAGGCTGGAAGGAGCCTGGGCCTGTGAGCTGCCAGACAGCCCTGCCGGGAGGGAGACCATCCCCGGCCACGTGGAAGCTGCGGTTTTGGTTTCATTGTTTTCTTCAGTCTCTGTTACAGCAGCCACACACAGATCCTACAGTGCCCTCAGGTGGGTGTCCTTCAAGGACTGGGCGACCTCACCAATCTGTGCCCACCTCTAAGGCCTATCTTAAGATCAGGGAATAGTTACTGCTCCTCTTCCTGCTCCAGGCTTGACACAGGGTAGGCACATTTTTTGTTAAATAAATGAATGAATGGAGAACATTCCAAGTCACCCATATCTAACTGCTGTCCAATCGCCCGATGCTGCCAGGTTTTATAGCCAGGGCACAGCCCACTTCTTTCTGTCATATACGAGGCACTTCTGACACAGCCACTCTGAAGACACCAGCCCAGCCCGGCTGCCACACACCAGGCTGCCTTCACAATTAACCAGGGCCCTGGAAACCGTTTCAGAGAGGAAGTTGATCAAAATGTATCAACGCGAAAAGATCCTTAAGACATATTGTTGAGTGAAAACAGCAAACTGCAGAAGATATGTAGACTATATCTGTGTGTTCTTAACCCTTGTATTTTTCTACAGTACACACAAGTATGTATATGCATGAGAAAATAGCCTGAAAGGTTATGCAGCAAAATCTTAACAGTGGCTACCCTGGGAGGGGCCTAGGGTTGGGCGAGTAGCCAGCAGGAGCCGCTTAGCTTTGCCCATGACCTCGACATTGCTTAGTAAGAACGTACTTGTGTAGGAATCTATTTGCATGATCAAAACACAGACACTTTCAACGGCCAGAGGCGGGTCACTTTCTGTTCAGAGGGATCTCTGAGCCTTGGTCCTCAAACTAACGACACCAGAATCACGGGAGGAAAGTGTTGAAAGTCCAGTGCCCAGACCCTGCCCGGACCTAATGAATGAGCAGCCCATTTACACTGCTTCTAGAATTCTGGCAGGAAGAGCCCGCCTATGAAAACATCCAACAGATAAAGCAGTCTTGCACCCACACCGTCTGGGGCCTGCAGGATTTCTTGCACCCACACCGTCTGGGGCCTGCCCGCAAAGGGTTTAGAAGCAGCTTTTAGGAGTGAGACCTAGTCCTGGGGGTAAACAAAGCTCTCTCCTGGAGAAATCTGGAAAAGCTTACGGAGAGTGGAAAACAAGAAGTGACTGCTAGAATGGCAAGGACTACCCAGACCGCAGGGCAACCCTAACCCCCCTGAGAAGCCCCCATTCCTCCACCCACCACACTTCCTTGAGCTGCCTTCAGGTGCAAGCCCAGCCTCATGGCAGAGTCGTGCCTGGGGCTCTTTGGCCAGGCCCTGCCTGCTGCTTTGCATCCCCCTAGGAGCTGCTCAGCCCTGGGGACTGTGGCACCAGCCACAGCCTCTGAACATACCCCAGTCCTGCCCACACCTGCTGTGGGGGGCCAGTCCAAGAGCCGGGGTGGCTGCAGTGCCTGGGCCCAGCTCCCCTCCCTGCACCACAGGGGAGGAGCTGTTGGCCAGGCTGCTGCTGTAATAGCCCTCAGTGCTGGAGTAGCTCTCACAAGAGCCACACTCCACCCAGCTGGCCTCTCGCTCAGGGCTCCCCAGCTCAGGCTATGTGACCTGCATCCTGCCACACCCGCCCCTTACGCAACCCTGCTTTCTCTGTGGTGCCCCCGTCCCCTGCAGGTGCCTGGAAATGCCACTTTCAGCCTTGGACCTACATGCCAGCCACTCAGCACCCTTGTCAACTCCCACCTTCTTCCCCACTCTAGGCTCACTGTGACTTAATTTACCTACTCAAAGAGTCTGCTTCACAGGGGAGCCTTCCTCCCCAAATCTAAGAATCTAGAAAGCAAGGAGCAGTGTCTTGGCATGACCCACTGTGTTCTGAGCAACCAGCTCCAGGGTTCCTGTTCTTCAGCCAGAATAGTCCCACTGTCCCCCATGTTATATGATTCTGGTTGTCACTGGAATAAAGGGTTCTCGCCTTAAAAAAATGAAAAATAAAAAATAAAAAACTGCATTCTGATCCAATGCTATTATTTGAAAAATGGAGAAAACTGAGCTCCTATTCTGGTTCACCCTTCATTTCATAATTACTTATTATTTATAATCCTAGTACATGCCAGGCACTGTGTAAGGTGCCAGGGGAGGGGGATATTACAGCAAGACTCAGTCCCTTCACCCAAGGAGAGGAAGCAGGAATTAGGCTGCAAAGCGAGGAGGACACACATGCAGGCACCAAGGGCTCTGGGAGCAGACGCAGCGTCAGGGCAGGTCTCACGGAGGCCGCCAGCCTGTCGCTCCTCCCGGGACCCTGCACGCACCACGACAGCCTGCCTCAGGTTCCCTGGTATCTGCTATGCCCTCTGCCCTTCCCCTTAAGCCTCCAGAGTGGTCTCAGGCCAAGCGATGGCTCCAAAGGGACATGGAGTGTGGGAAATGGCCCAGGTCCTCTGGGTGTCAGAACACCCGGGTCTGGCCCTGACCGCCAGCTGTGAGGCCCAGCAGTTCACTTCCCCCCACCCCCACCTCTGCCTCTGTTTCGCCAGGGGGGCCTCCTGACACCAGATGCCCTTACCAGATGCACGTAGAGAGGCCCAGGTCCGCCTGCACCCTAAGGGACTCACCAGGGCCCAGGCTCTGGCCCCTCTCCGCACTGGGCAGGCTGCAGCTGCCTGCCTGGTGTCCTTTCTCCAGTGGCACCAGAAGATCTGGCTTGGTGGTGGCCCGGCCTGTAGGGAGGAAAAGGGCAGTGGCAGGGCTGTCCTCTGCAGACCTGGAAACGAAGGTTTTCCATCAGGCTTGGAGCAGGACTCACTCCCTCTTCAAGGCATGTGTTGAGGGGCATGGAGAGTAGGGTGGGCAAGGCCTCTCAGTTTTCGTGGACTAGAAGTAAGTGCCATGAGACCGAGAGAAAGGGTTCCCATCCATTGCCCACACAGACAAGCCACCTAGTCCAGACAGATGAGGAAACTCAGGCCCAAAAATGGGGCTGGCCATTCCTGGCGGTCAGGCTCAGGCTTCCTGCTGCCCTTCCTTCCACGTGCTTCTCCTTCCCCACCTGAGGCCGGACAGCCTCGTCACCCTGCCTCCCACAGCACACTGGGACCCTCTTCTGAAGGAGGAACCTCTGCAGCCAGGCAAAGGGAGGGAAGGCACTGTGTTCTGGGCCTCAGCCTCCCAACAAGGGGAGAGAGTGGACAAAAAGCCAACTGCTCACCTGCCCAAAGCAGTGAGAATTCCAGGTGCATGCAGGAGAGCTTGGGAGTAGGGTAGCTACAAAAACCCACGTCTGATCAAATCTCACATGAAGACACACACCTGCCTGAAGGACCGAACTTCCCAGGGCTGGCCCTCGTTTTCTGGACCTGGGGCATCCTTAAAAGCAGGCCAGGGCCTGGCGCGGTGGCTCACGCCTGTAATCCCAGCACTTTGGGAGGCCGAGATGGGCAGATCACGAGGTCAGGAGATCGAGACCATCCTGGCTAACACGGTGAAACCCCGTCTCTACTAAAAATACAAAAAATTAGCCAGGCGTGGCAGCGGGCACCTATAGGCCCAGCTACTTGAGAGGCTGAGGCAGGAGAATGGTGTGAACCCGGGAGGCGGAGCTTGCAGTGAGCCAAGATCTCACCACTGCACTCCAACCTGGGCGACTGAGCGAGACTCCGCCTCAAAAAAAAAAAAAAAAGCAGACCTGGCCGAGCACAGTGGCTCACGCAGCACGTTGGGAGGCCGAGGCGGGCGGAACACCTGAGGTTGGGAGTTCACGGCCAGCCTGACCAACATAGATAAACCCCATCTCCACTAAAAATACAAAATGAGCTGGGCCTAGTGGTACATGCCTGTAATCCCAGCTACTCAGGAGGCTGAGGCAGAAGAATCACTTGAACCTGGGAGGCGGAGGTTGTGGTGAGCTGAGATCACACCATTGCACTACAGCAAAAAAAAAAAAAAAAAGCAGGCCTACAGTCCATCCGTCTTTGCTCAGCAGGAATCACCTGAGAACTCAGTGTGCAGAGTGCAGCTTGGGAGTCCTAGGGATGCAGATGTAAACCAGGGGAGGCCCCAGCTCCCCAGGAGCAGACAGGCTGGCAAGCCACAGGCATGCACGCAGGAGCTGCCTCTGGCACCACGCAAAGGGCAGGACAGCAAGGAGCAGATTCCAGTTCACTTACTCCATGAGACCTGGGGCAAGTCACATAACCTCTGCATTTCATTACCTAAAACCTCAAAATGAGAATGACGGATACCCTCTACCTGCCTGAAGACAGAGGGCTGAACAAATGATCTCTACATGCTTCCTGCTCTGAGATTCAGAAGTCTCGTGTGATTGAGTAAGGGAGTAAAACCAAGGTGTGGAGGCCCCCAGAGACCAGCCTCTTACCTAGGGAGCTCAGGGTCTCGCAGCTCCCCTTCACAACACGTTTGTAGAGCTCCTTCTGTGAGTCCTCCAGGCCGCCACCCTGCTGCTCTGAGAAATACCCGACCGTGTCTTCAGGAGTCACGGGCACCTGGAAGTACAGGTTGCCTGCACCCACCATGAGGAACAACCATTTCAGGGAGCAGCCAAAACCAACTCCAGTCTCCTCTCCCTTCCCCCGAAGCAGTGGGCATCGCAGGCCAAACTACTAAGCAAATGCAAACTCAACTCCATCACAACGCCTTCGGCTAAAGGGCAGAACCAGTGACTAAGGGGATTCATGATCAGGGCTCCTGGGTTCTCTTCCCCTCTCCCAGGCACACGTATCTCCTACTTGTGCCAGTCCTCACTCTCAGAGATCATGTACAACCACTGCTGCACAACCATTTCTCTCCCAACAAACCCCATTCCATCCTCCAAAGCAGACATTTTTCTGTGTCACAATTTCTTTTGACATTTTTCAAGCCCTTTAAAGTCAACTAGTGACTGCCTTGGATGCCCAGAGGTCAGGCTTTGGGAGCCAGGGGGCTCCTTCCGCTATGCATATGGTAACCCTACAGAATCCAGGCAGGGCCTCTCCACCCACACCCAGCTCCTATACCTTGGGGGCCTCCCCCTTGCTGCCTGGGGGCAGCCACAGGATCCAGAAGTTTCTGTTGCACAGCACGTTCTCCAGCTGCCTCTGCAGCAGCCCGTACTCCTGCAGCAGAGTCCCCAACATGGCCCACTTGCCCTCCAGCCTGAGCAACAGTTTGGTTCCCAAACTTCACAGCCACCTTCTCGCAGTCAGCCAGCTTCTCCTCGGCTGTCCGTGTGCATCCCTCCAGGCTCTGTAGCCAGGCAGCCTGGGGTTCCATCTTCTTCTCCACCACCTGAACAGCAGCCACGATAGCCAGAAGGGAGACCTCTGCAGATCGGATCTGGGCCTCTCCCTGGAGGTCAGTCTGCATATACCAGTCCTGCAACCAGACACAAGTTCATGAGTCAGCCACCAGGAGAGCAGCCCAGAGCCGTTACCAGACACAGGAAGGTCAGGATTCTCCAGAATGGGGAAGACGTCTTCTGAATGCCAGAGGGCCTCACTGGTCAGACCCCCAAACAGACCCCACCTAATAGTCAAAGACAGCAGACACTGGACCCCACAAATTCCCCATGAGAAGAATCCTGAACCAAGACCCAGGGGCAATGGAAAAATGACATAACTAACATTACTATCATAAATGAATAGAGTGGATCCCTGCTCTACCACTCACTGCCTCTATTAGCTCAGCCCATTATTCAACCAACTAGGGAACATGGCCAGAAGCAGGAACCAAGAAATGGTGAGAAGCCCAAGTCCAGAACACCTGCCAGGGGACCTGGGGTCCAATGCACACCCAGGCAGCAATCTGAGTCCTCAACTTCTTCTAGAACAAGTCCACACCCCTTAGTGGGCTCACGGGGAGAAAGGCCTGTTGTTCCGCCTTGGCGATCTCTAAGGCCCATCCACCCTGACATCTACTGGTGTGACTTCCTGCCCTGCCTGACACCACATCCCCGTGATCCAGGTGCCTTGTCAACCAGCCCCAGGATGGTCTCCACCCTCCTAGCTGCCAGGCAACAGGGGCCAGAGAAAGTTGAAAGCAGAAAAGAAAAGAACAAGGAAACATTACAAGGAATATCCTGTTCCCAGGAGGCAGAAAATGTATTATGTATTGCTGGAAATAAAATTTTAAATCCAGGAATGCCCCAGTGGGGAACAGTTGAGGTATAAAGGGAGCACTCCTGGAAATGGAACTCACCTAGAACTTGACTCAGTGCCTCTCCTGCCATCTGAATCCTGCACAACCTGAGGTCAAGCCGCATAACTTATCTAAGGTTCTATGTTCTCACTTACAGGGATATCCTAACTTCCTTCATTCCTAAGGTGGCTGTGTGGATGAAACACACTGAAGATATGAAAAAGCACTCAGGGTGTATGACATTAGCACATGTTATTTTCTTTTTTTTTTTTTTTGAGACCGAGGCTTGCTCTGTGCCTCAGCTGGAGTGCAGTGGCCAGAAATCTCAACTCACTGCAGGCTCCCGCCTCCCCAGTTACCCGCCTTCTCAAGCCTCCCGAGTACTGGACCACCGCCCCGCCCTCGCTGGCTAATATTGTAGTTAGTACAGACGGGGGTTTCACCGGTTTAGCCAAGGGAATCCGATCCTGACCCCGTGACCGCCATCTCGCCTCCAATGTGCCTGGGATACAGGCTTGGCCACCGCGCCCCCGGCCTATGGTATTCTTAAAAACAAATATGACCGGGCGCCGGTGGCTCCAAGCGATCCAGCAACCTTTGGGGAGGCCGAGAACGGGCGATCACACGAGGTCAGGGATTCGGACCATACTGCTAAACATGTGGAAACCCCGTCTCGACTAAAAATACCAAAAAAACCGTCAGGTTGCGGGCGCGCCACTGTAGTCCCAGCACTCCGGAGCTGAGGCAGGAGAATGGCGAAACCCGGAGGCGGAGCTTGCAGTGAGCTGAATCCGGTCCACTGCACTCCCAGCCCTGGGCGACAGAG